TTTCCTCTCTAGGAACCTGCTGCCTCCTTCCAGGGTTGGGAGCAGCCAAGGTAGGTCCCAGTGCCCATAGTGTAGGCTAGGGTAAAGCTGGGAGGGAGCCCCCAGGGGCGCTGGGACAGCTCTGTACCTGACAGAATCTCCGCAGGGCCCGTTGGTTGGTCAGTTTATACTTCCAGGTAAGATACCAGCTCCGCTTCTTCCGAGCCCCAAAGGGCTTGATGAGGGAGCTGGCCTTCCAGTCGTCCATGCCGGATTGGGGAGTCACCACTGTCCTGGCCAACCCATGCCTTCAGGAATCTGAGAGGACCAGAGGGTCACAGGGACTAGGGTGTACCTCCCAAAGTCTGATGCCTTCTGGGGAGACCAGGGAGGACCTCCCAACAACTCTTTCCTGCAGACATCCAGGTTGTGTGACCTGGGAAAAGTGGCTCAACTGCTCTGGAAAGGAACCATTCAGAGGGGTCGGGTCACCTGGAAACTCCCCTGGGGCTGGGGTGCCTGGGGTAACTGGCAGAGCTGCCCAGGGCCCTCAGAACAGAGGCCAAGTAATCGACTCTCAATGTTCAGCAGCCCCTAAAAAGACCAAGCTCCAGGACTCCCCGGTCCTGGGGGTGGGCAAAGGGCACAAACACCACCCCCCACCAACCCTGGCCCCCAATCCTCCACCCGCTTGCTTGCGCTCTCGCCCTCTCCTATCTGGCCCCGCTCTTCTCCTTCCAGGGCTCGGGGCCGCCTGAGGACTCGGGAGACCTGCCCCGGCCGCGCTACCCCTCCCGGACTCCCGCCCAGGAGGACTCACGGCTCAGGGGGCCCGGGCGCCGCTCGGGCCCCTCTCCGGCCCGCACTGCTCTGCCCGGCGCACCGCGGCCTCCGCCTCCTCCATGCCGCTCGCGGCCCCGCCCCGGCCCGGTCCGCCCCGCCTCCCCGCTTCCGCCGCCGCCGCCGCGGGGTGAGAGGGCGGCGGGCGGTGCTTAGGGCGGCGGCGGCGGCGGCGGCGGCGGCGGCGGGTGTCAGAGGCCGGCGAGCACTCGGAATACTCAGTTCTCCAGCAGCTTCGTAACTGGCGGGCGGGATGGCTGCTGGAATACAGCAGCAGCCCCTACCCCCAACTTAGCCTTGGCCCCCAGCATCATGGATGGCGAACCCTAGAGCCTAGAGCCTTGGATGAGACCACTCGGGATGCCAGGGTCAGAGGGCCTACAGGCCTCGGCACAGCTACCCGCTTCCCTTGCTTCCGCAAGGCTTGCACCCTGGTTTAGGGTGTGCCTTTGGAGGCTAAGGAGAGTTAAAAATCTGATTCTACCACTACGCTAGACCTTGGGCAAGTCACTTCACGTCTCAGCCTGGATTTCCTAATCTGTGAGATGGGGGTATGCTTATATAATGCTTACTCTATGCCGGTCACTGTTCCAAGCACTTTACTTACACCACCTCGTTTAATTCCACAACAATCCCATGAGATGGGTACTGTTAGTAATGAGATCCAGTGTCACAAAGCTGGGAGCTGGAATTCAAACTGAGGTATCCCGGCTCGATTCCTCTCTCAAGACCCCCTCCCCCTACACTGATAAGAATAATACAGATTTGTCCTGAAGGTTTAATGAGATAATACATACAAAGAACTTAGCCTAACACAGTGGTTCTTAAATTTTACCTTGCATCAGAATCACTTGGAGGGGGGCGCCTGGGTGGCTCAGTGGGTTAAAGCCTCTGCCTTTGGTTCAGGTCATGATCCCGGGGTCCTGGGATCGAACCCCGCATCGGGCTCTCTGCTGGGCAGGGAGCCTGCTTCCCCTTGCCTCTCTGCCTACTTGTGATCTCTCTCTGTCAAATAAATAAATAAAATCTTAAAAAAAAATCACTTGGAGGGCATCTTAAAACACAAATTGCTAGGCCCTGTTCTTAGAGTTTTCCATTCGATAGTCTGGGCAGAGCAGAATACTGCATTTCTAACAAGTTTCTAGATGACGGTGATGTTTATCCGAAGTGAGTAGGTAGACAGGGAAGTTTTTTTTTTGTTTTTTGTTTTTTTTTTTTAATTTATTTGACAGAGAGATCACAAGTAGGCAGAGAGGCAGGCAGAGAGAGACAGGAGGAGGAGGCAGGCTCCCTGCTGAGCAGAGAGCCCGATGCGGGACTCGATCCCAGGACCCTGAGATCATGACCTGAGCCGAAGGCAGAGGCTTTAACCACTGAGCCACCCAGGTGCCCCGTAGACAGGGAAGTTTTAAGCAGAAAAGTGATATAGTACTATTTAACAGAAACTTTACTGTTTGGTGGAGAATGTTGTTGTTGTTTTTTTTTAAAGATTTTATTTATTTACTTGACAGAGAGAGATCACAAGGAGGCAGAGAGGCAGGCAGAGAGAGAGGAGGAAGCAGGCTCCCCACCAAGCAGAGAGCCCGATTCGGGGCTCCATCTCAGGACCCCGGGACCATGACCCCAGCCGAAGGCAGAGGCTTAACCCGCTGAGCCACCCAGGCGCCCCTGGTGGAGAATGTTTTAAAAGGAAATGGAGGAAGCCAGAAGACCAGTTAGATTTTTTTGAGCTCTCCATATTCCACCTGCTTCCTAAATGGTGGGATGGTATCCCCCAAAATGTTAACATGGGTGATTTTTACTGGTTTTTTTTTTGGGGGGGGCGGTGATTTTTCCAAATAGGTATGTATTAGAGAATAGAAGAAAACCCAGCACATTTTATTAGCATTTGAAAAAGATGTCGCTCAGGGCTCCTCTCTGATCTTTGCTGCTCAGTCTCCCTCTTCACAGATCTTATCCACTCTCCTGACCTGTTAACCGCCTAGATTCTTACACTTGTATCTGCAGTCCTAACATTTCTCCTGAGCTCTAGGCTGACCTGTGTCCAGCTGCCTGCTGGACATCTTCACAGACCCCTCCAACTCAAAGCCATCCCTGCTGTGATCATCTCTTCCCACTCCCAGTCCTCTTTCTGGGTTCCCTTCCTTTTTGAATGGCACCAGGCCAAACAGCTAAGAGTCACCCTTGAATCCTCTTCTCTAGGAGCCAGTCCAGGTCTGTTTGCTCATCACTGTATTCTCTGTACCACACACACTGGCTAGCAAATAGTAGACTCTCCATAATATTTATTCGAATCGTTTGTTTTCTTGAACAAGCCATCATGAATGCCACTATAATTAAATGAATATAACCAGTCTTGTCAATCTTACCTCCTTAAGAGTTCTCCATTCTGGCCTCTTTTCCAACCTCACAAACAGCCCCTGGTCCAGGCCATTTCAGTTTCTTGCCTTCCAGTTTCCTTGACTCCAGATTTGTACCCCTCCAATCATTTCTCCTTGCAAAATCCAGAGTAATTTTTCAAAAAGGCAAATCTCTTTTTTTAACCTCTGATAATCCTTCTGTGGACTGAGAGACACTAAGGAAAAATATTTTACTTAATATTACAGAGGTAACCATTAAATGAACTTAAAATAGTGATAGAAATATATAGGGCCAGTGGAAGAGGGGAAGCACAGAGTGTGAAATAAATCATATTTATCATAATAGGAAGTCAGTAAACAATATTTAAAATTAATAAATAGTAGTCCTGTATAAGTGTATGTGGGGTTATATGTATAAACACCAGAAAAAAGTAGTTGAATGTGGTTGCCTTTGGGGAGTGGGGCTAGAGGTGGAAAACGATAGACCAAGTTAACTATCTTTACATTTGTAAATCCTTCTGTGACCCTGTACTGGAATTACTTGGATAAAACATCCAAATCAAGCCAAAACAAAAAAAGTTTTTCATCGCTCCCCATTGCCTACAAAATATAATCCAAGCACCATAGAACCATCTTCTATTACCCTGTTACTCAAAGTATGGTCCCTGGCCCAGCAGCATGGCCATCACCTGGGAGCTTGTTAGAAAAGAACCTCAGGCTCCATCCCAGATCTTCAGAATCACAGTCTGCATTTTAACAAGATTTGCAGAAAATTCATAACCACAGTCAAGCTTAAGAAGCATAAGTCTAGGGATGCCTGGGTGGCTCAGTTGGTTAAGTGGCTGCCTTCAGCTCAGGTGGTGATCCCAGGGTTCTGGGATCAAGAGAGCCCCCTGCTCAGTGGGGAGCCTGCTTCTTTTCCTCTGCCCCTCCCCTTGCTTGTGCTCTTTCTTTCTCTCAAATAAATAAATAAAATCTTAGAAGAAAAAAAGCGTCAGTCTACAGGATCAAGCATGATCTGGTCCATGTGGACCTTTTCATCTTCAATACTGGTTGCTTCTCATTGTCCAGAAGAACCTTATTTTCTCCTTTTATTTAAACTCAGGGGCAAGGCACCAGGCTGGCTCATTCAGAAGAGCATGTAACTCTTGATCTCCCGGCTGAGTTCAAACTTCATGTTGCGTGTAGAGAAATATTTCAAAATAAATTAATAAATAAATTAAAAAAAATAAATCCAGTGGTTACACTGAAAGTGTGAGTGTGTGTGTGTGTGTGTGTGTCCGTAGCTAGCTAAATTCTAACCACTGTTGTACACCCAGCCCCTCTACTTCAGGAAGCCTTTCAAAATCCTCTGCAGCTTCTGTCACCACTGTTCCTTAAACTCCCATACCCCTGAGGATGCTTAGCTTTTTTTCAGCAAACATTTATCGGGCGCCTTCTATGTGACTGGCTAGACTCAGCTCGCAGTGTAGGGAGAAGGCACTGAACTCTCCTAGTGCTCCTTCAAGTGCAAATCCAAGTACAAATCGCCCAGCCCCACCCATTCTAGGTACATTGTGTGCGCAGCACTCGAACACACACAACACACACAACACACACACACACACACACACACACACACACGAACACACACGCGCACGCACGCACGCACGAACGGCTCTGCGCGGCTTTTCTGAGTGTTACGGCACCCTCCGCCCGCCCCCGCGCGGCGCGGGCGGGGACCCACCGGTTCCGCTCTGCACCAGCAGCGGGCAAAGGAGGACCCCCGGGAACGAGACCCCGCCGTCCGGTGGCCCAGTCCTCTTTCAGCCATAGGCCCGCATGGAGGGGACTGCGGAGTTCCAGACGCCTGACCTGCGAGATGTGGAGGGCAAGGTGGGCAGGAAGACCCCTGAAGGGCTGCTCCGCGGGCTGCGAGGCGAATGGGAGCCGGGAACCTCCGGCGCCCTGATGCTCTCGGGGGCGCCTAGCACCGGCCACGGCCACAGCCTGGGGGACAAGATCATGGCGTTGAGGATGGAGCTGGTGAGTGTGGGTTCCATGGGCCAGGAGGACGGAGTTCCCAGCTAGGGTTGGAAGGGACAGACTTATGCCTCCAGAGTTGGACTGGAGACGAGCGAATTAGAACTCCCTACCTAACTCCTCAGGATTCCTTCCAGATCAATCCTTAAACCCTGGGGTCCATTAATTGCCCCTCCAAGGGTGAGTGGGTCCTGAAGACTTGAGGTGGGAGGCACTAGCTCTTGGAAGTTTTTCCTGCCAGATAATCGGGAGGGGAGAGGTGAGGCTGAGAAGCACTGAGAACCTAGCACAGCACAAATCTGCCCCCTCCCCCCGCCCTCCCCCCACCATCTATGCCCTGCCCACCATTATAGGGCCCTCAGTTTCTTCTACTGCACACTGGGCCCAGGGTTTGCTAGTCTGAGACCTGGGTGTTCATGATAGGATTCAGCACAGAAGAGATCAGAGTGAAAAACCCCTAGTCTAGGGCTACCCAAAACATCCTCCCTTTCCCCAACTCCCCCAATCCCCACATAAGGTACTTGGAAGTCCCTAGAACCTGGGTGGTCAGAGTAGCAGCGCCATGGCTATTGGCTCCATCACCTCCTGGTATAGCCCCCCAGGTATACAGGATTTTTGCATCTCATCTGTACCTTCTTGGGGAGAAGAGAAGGAAATAGGCACCCTCCCCCTCCCCTGTTGCTGCTGGTCTAGATTCAGAGCCAGAAGGGCATTTGGGGCTGTCCAGGCTCCCCAAGGCCCTGGTTCTGGTGAAGGGGGTAATTTACACCTGCCACCAATTTGCAGCCAGTTCTGGGGAACTGAAGAATCCTCTGGCTCAGATCCAGGAGGCCACAGTGAGTGTGTCAGCTAATAGGTCTTTCTGGAGCCCACCATCTGCCTAGCTAGGCTGTGAGAGAACAGAGAAGGGGGGCATGGGGGCTCTTAGGCAGGGAGGAGAGCCTTCTGGGCAGAGCAATCAGGGAAGGCTCCATGGGGGAAGAACTTAAATGCCATGTGTGCACTCGGCCCTGAAGGCTGGAGGTGAATGCCAGATTCTTCAGAGCAGGGCTGTGACTGCCCACCTAAGGGAGGGGCTTGCTTCGCTTCTTTGTACAGAGTGGTGCCAGGCATCATACTGAGCACTTTACAAAATACTCACTTAATCCTCACAGTAACCCTATTAGCAAATGATATTTTATAGATAAAGAAACTGAGGCACAAAGAGATTAAGTAACTGCCCAAGGTCATACAAAAAAGTAAAAAGCAGAGCCAGGCTTCCAACTCACATGATCTTCCTGCACTTTACATTTTTACCATTGAGATCTGCTTCGTGCCAGGCGCTTTAAAGACATTTTATGCCACTGAAGTGAGAAAAGCGGTCATCTTTACCCCGTCCTGTAGATGAAGTATGCTTGCAGGTGTTAAAGGGGTTCAGCTGGGCTCACACAGGGAGCCAGTGGAGAAGCCATGCCTTTTCTCTGGCTCTAACTCTTTCGCCTTTGGTGGTGATTAGCTGTTTGTAAACTTTAAGGGCGTACATTCATTTAACTTCTGATTAGGTCTCTGCGTTCTTGACCTAGCCTGGTCTGGGACCCTAAGCTGCCCATTAAAGGCACACAGGAGGGAACCTACTGGGGGCCAGAATAGGGAAGCGCTCCTTACCCCGATTCCTTTCTCCTTCCTTGGCCAAGATGTCATTGATGTCTTTGTGTACTCAGCCCTGCCCACTGGGGGGGAGCGGCGGGACTGGGCATAGGGTTTCCCTTGAAGCCACTGGTGGCAGAACAGGTCCAAGCTCTCTAAGCACAGTCCTTCAACTGTCCCTCTCCCAGCAATCCTGCAGGGCCGGGGGCAGGCCCGCTCTTAAAGCCAAGGTTATTCCTGCCTCTAGGCTCTTTTCCTCTTGGTTCCCTCCCCCTCTCACAGGTTGAGTGAACCAGCCAGACTCTGGGATTTGTGGGAAGGGGAAACAATGGAAACCTTCCCCACTTAATCCTCCTACCCAAAAAAAAAACTGTTCCTGCAGACAACCCACCCCCACAGAGCTGGCTTAAAAAAAAAAGCTTTAGGCAAGAAGGGGGAAGTCATGGGTTCAAGTTCTGGCCCAGCTCCTGAATCATTTGAGATCTTGAGCAGAGCCCTGACTTTCTGTTGGCCTCAGTTTTTCTGCCTCTTTGAGGATGAGGGGACAGGGGCTTATGGGATCAGATAGTTCTAGTAACAGTTGTCTAAGAATCTCAATCCACGGCCAGGGAGCTGAGCCTGGGATCTCCGGGCTTTACCCCAGGGCCTGATTGGGATTGAGCAATGAGGAGGCCACACTTGTGACCCCAGGGCTGGGCAGAGTCTGATGTGTCTTTGTTAAGAGGGTTAGTGGGGGACTTGAATCCCCCTGAGAAGAGAACTGGGTTGGAGTGGTCTTTGAGGCTGCATCTCTCCTGAGGATTTATCCCTTTTCTGTTTTCAAAGAGGCGGTGTGGAATGAGTGTTTCTTTTTCTGGCAAGAAAGCCTTGCTTTTTTTCTATTCTGGGAAGTGTTGCTGTCACAGTCAGGGAATCCCACTGTCACAGGACTATAGAATCTAGTTCTCAGATTCATTTCCCATCAACACAGTAAAACTCAACCGGATGAATCCTGGAGACCACCAGAGGGGCCAAGGATAGTAAAGGCAAGAGAATCACAAAGCCGAATCTGACCTATACAGTATGAGGCTAAGTGCCACCAATGAACTGTGTAGGACTGCTCTCAGGGAGCTCACAAGCTGAGTTCACAGGAAGGAGGGAGACAGACTAATAACTCTGGTACAGGATGATAAGTGTTATTAGAACCCAGGGTGGGCTTGTTGGAAGAGTCTTCATTAAAGAGTGACGTGGTCAGATTTGTACTCTGGAGAGATGACTCCTCCTCCTCCTCCTTCTTTTTTTAAAGATTTTATTTTTGGGGGCTCAGTTGGTTAAGAGCCCGCCTTTGGCTTGGGTCATGATCTCAGGGTCTAGGGATCGAGCCTGCTTCAGGCTCCCTGCTCAGCAGGAAGTCTGCCTGCCCCTCTGTCTGCCTACATGAGCTCTCTCTCTGTCAAATAAATAAATAAAATCTTAAAAAAAAAAAAAAGATTTTATTTTTAAGTAATCTCTACACCCAATGTGGGGCTCGAATCTACAGTCCCTAGATCAAGAGTCATATGCTCTATCAACTCAGCCAGCCGGGCACTCATGGAAAGGCCACTTTGAATTGGAGGGGACACATACTGAGTCCTCTAGTTGGAATGCCTCTCTCCACTGTTTACTTGACGAAGTCCTATTCAACCTTTATGTCTCAGCTCATGTGCCTTATTGTAGGAAGCATTTTCTTACCTGCTTTGATTGGGTCATTGCCTTCTAGATAGCCATGGCCCTCTGGATAGCATTTGTTTCCCCTAGCATTTTCCATGCTGAGTCTTAAGTGCCTATATCATTGTCTTATCCTACCCATAAACTGTGAACTCTCTGAGGTTAAGAAATGGTGTCTTTTCTTCCTTGAACACAATGTGATGCCTATAAAAAGACTCACTGGGGCGCCTGGGTGGCTCAGTGGGTTAAGCCGCTGCCTTCGGCTCGGGTCATGATCCCATAGTCCTGGGATCGAGCCCCGCATCGGGCTCTCTGCTCAGCGGGGAGCCTGCTTCCCTCTCTCTATCTCTCTGCCTGCCTCTCTGCCAACTTCTGATCTCTCTGTGTCAAATAAATAAGTAAAATCTTAAAAAGGGGGGGGACCTCCAGGCATGCGTCTGAAGATCTTCCTTAAAAAAAAAAAAAAAAAGACTCACTAAATATTGTGTCATAACTGAATGGATTAATTCTGTCTTAAGGAAGAGCAGGGAAGACTTCCTAGAGGAGGAATGGCATTTGTGGCTGGGGCTTGAAGGATGAATAAAGTCAGCGGGAATTCTAATTCAAGATGGCGGATTGAACACATGCATTTACCTCCATTTCCTTCTGAAATGTCACTAGAAAGCCAGTAGAAGGATTATTTTAAAAGCCATGAAACTATTATGATGACAAATGTAGGAGAGAAGATGATAGGAACAAAATTTTGGAAGCTGAAAAGCAGAAGGAAGTGTGGTAACTTAGAGGACCTGAAAAAAGCTGAATTCCAAACCAGCAGCGAGGAAAGCTGAAAAAGCAACACGATTTGCACTACAGAAACTCAAAGCTTTCAAGGAGTTGGGAAAACCCAGTGTTTAGGGAATTGGGGGGCACAAGTGAAGCTAAAAACAAAAGAGTTTGTGAATGTCTGTTTACGATTTGTACTCTAAGATCCCCTCCCTAACTGGCCAACCAAGTGCCAGCCACTTCTTTGTCCGAACAGAAGATTGGGATATAAGTTTTGGAAAAAAATAGTACAGAGGGAATGGAGGAAGGGGAAGAAAGGAAGGAGACAATATAGCAGGAGAAGCATTTTTAGTATGAGAAGTTTTGTTTAATACATTTAGTTTGGTTATGGACTAGGACTGTTGGTTTCACTGTTAATTTATTTCTTGGGGTTCCTGGGTGGCTCAGTTGTTAAGCATCTGCCTTCGGCTTGGGTTATGATATCAGGGTTCTGGGATCGAGCCCTGTATCAGGCTTCCTGTTCAGTGGGGAACCTGCTTCTCCCTCTCCCACTCTCCCTGCTTGTGTTCCTTCTTTCACTGTCTCTCTCTCTCTGTCAAATGGATGGATAAAATATTTAAAAGAAAAAAACAAAACTTAGGGGCACCTGAGTGGCTCAGTCGGTTAAAGAGTCTACCTTCAGCTCAGGTCATGACCGAGGGTCCTGGGATCGAGCCCCATGTCAGGCTCCCTGCTAAGTGGGAGTCTGCTTCTCCCTCTGCCCTTCCCTCTGCTGTCTCTCTCTCTCTCAAATTAAAAAAAAAAAAAAAATTTCCCCAGTGCGAAATAATTGAAGATCATCTTTTATTGCATGTCATTAATAATCTGCGTAGCCTGTAGTATTTCAGTTATTTATGTCCATATCTCCTTATTGAAACTGCAAGTTTCTG